ATAAATGAGTTACCGTTAGTTTTTAAGTTCTTTGAGCTTAAAATGTACAATTACTGGGTTACACATGTCAAAGGTGTACTTACATACTTTGTAGGTACAAAAATTTGCCTTGTTGCTTAAGTTTAGCTGCCTTTTTTTGTTCTTGAGGTCAACCCTCTGGATCCCTTTGCCATTTTGGGCTGTGGCCTTACTAGGTCATGCTGGCTGAAGTATAACTGCCCTGCTAGTTTTTGGATTATGATCTCCCAGACCAATACAACATAAATAACAGCAGGTAACTGTCCCCTGACTTCTTTGTCAACGCTTGCGTACTGATACCAGTTCAGTTATGCTCGCTGGGGAGGCAGATACTCAGATTCAATTGGATAGCATTCCTGTCTGCCTGAAAAGTGTTATGAAATCCTTTAATATGATAGGCACTCTACATCTTAAAATCTTTCATCAATGATCTGCAACCAGATGGTGCAAAAGCATCTCAATGTAAGCATCAGGATCAACATAACTGTAATGAACAATAACAGAAATCTTAAATGCAGACCTGGTAAGACAGGTTGGAGTGATCAAAGCACAGGAAGCCATCTTCATTTCAGTTGTTTCAATTTGATAATTTTTTGATTACAGTTTCTAATGTCAGTTCTGAAAACAATATTGCCCTTATTTGTCTAGTAACTGACAATTTTTTTATTTTTTGTTTCATTCTCTGATATGGTAATTACATTTTTTTTCTTTCATTTTTAGGAGTGCAGTTGCTTGCCCTTCTCGTTCCCACTCTGATCTCCTATTTACTGAATGAAAATGCCTTTGCTTCTGCATCTACTGCATCTAAGGATCTTCACGAGTTTGCACTTCAGAATCTAATGCACATTGGTCCACTTTACCCACATGCTTTCAAGACAGTAATGGGAGCTGCTCCTGAATTGAAAACACGTCTAGAAACTGCAGTCCGAGCAAGTCAGGCCAGCAAAGCAAAAGCAGCTGCTAGGCAACCACCACCCACAGTACATTCCACCCCAACAATTAAACTGAAAACTAGCTTTTTTTGAATTACTTTTATTATTTTTGGACCATTAAGTAGTCAGAAGCATTACATTATCCCTGCATACATGTCTAATTTTGTGTAATTTGTATGTGAAAGGCTGTCTAATGGAGCTTTGTGTAATTACTTGAAATCCATGCATTACAAGGGAAGTGGTGTTACTTGTATAGATTTTTAGGAAATTGTGATCATATTTATGAATTTCTGTTATAAGTTATCCACCAAAAATTATTCTGTATCTAAATAGTTTTATTTATTTTTAAAAGCTATCTCAAATCCTCCAGTGGTTTTTGAAATCTGGTGATTGTTATCCTGCCATTGTGCCAACACAGTAACACAGTGGGGATGGAGAGAAGAGGAAAGACTGTTACGAAGTAGTTACCCTGTACCACAGGGAATTTCTAGTGTAGAGATGTGAATTTTTTTCCTTTTAAAAGAATAGTAGGAAAAGGGAATTTGTAGATCGTTTCAGCTTGCATGAAAAAAAAAAAACAAAACCCCACAACAAAAGAATTGAAAATTCTCAGCCTTTCTTAAGGTGGATGATCAAGCATGCTGTCTTAATGAGTTGTCTTAATTTATGTGGTGTGTATCTCTTTCAAATCCGTTTCCATGCTTGAAAATGAATAAAGGATGCAAAGAATCTAATCCCCTATCTCTTCGAATATAAATTTTAAGGAATGCACTGGAAACTGAGTTTATAAAGAGAACTGCCTTCTATCTGCATTTTTGTAAGTGTAGATCTTGGCCCTTTTAAGGTCCTCTGTGTTTGCAGTCTTCCTGTTCTGCCAGCAACTGGTTGAATATGTGATGAGTCAGTGCTCTGCCCTTTGTCCAGACTCATAGGTATTTAACTTTCCTGCTAGATTTTAGTTTCTGGATACATCATACCTGTAGTCTTTGATCCATTTTGCAAGCAGAGGTACTGGAGCACTTTGCACTGTTCTGACTCGGGGCAGAACACAAGTGACAGCCAGGCTCCTCCAGTTTTTCCTTCCCCTACCAGGCTTTTTTCAAAAGCATGTGGCTCCCCTCACATCTGAGTGAGTCTGATGTGTAGATGTTGGGGCTTAGGGCTCAAGTGCTGTGCTAACCTTGGAGCGCACAGCCAGGGACTCCCAGTGTCTGCTGCCAGGCCTCACCCTTCCTATTGGCCTAAGTGCGGAACCATGTATTTTCTTGTGTATACAAGACTGACTTGCATGAAGTTTTTGACACAGCTGTTGAATTTATGGGCTTTTATAGGGATCTTTCTATACATTTTGCTTTATAGAGAGAAGTAGCATAACCAGAGGTCTCCACTAGGCCTGCTGAGTTTCATCTCTGATGTTCCTCTGTATGCTCTGTAAAAACTGCGAATTTCAGATGCAAACTTCAAATATAACAAAGGGACAGTAAACAGAATTGAATATGACTAATATCTGCTTAAAATATTTGTAGATCACTATTTTTGCATAGATACTTGCCTCTAGGCTTTCTATTTTCCTCTAAGACCTTATCTAATATCCCTCTGAGTACCTATGCAAAATGGTCAAGAAAATGCTCTTTTGCCCTATGGTAAGTTGGCTGTGTGCAAAATATTTAATATAAAATCAGAAATGCTTTTATTTCACAATGAATGTTTTATTACTAAAGTGAGAACATAGCAAGTAGTGTGTATTCTAATATTTTTTTTTTTCATAAAGATGTTAATCAAGTCTTGTACCATTATTCTACAGGAGTAAAGATGTATGCAGAAGTAAAAGCAATGTGCTGTACATGAGAAGAAAAGTAACTTCACTATTTTTTTTCATCTTACTATGGGTAGTGGGAATTAAATTGATTTAAATATATCCCTTTCTAATAAGTCTTTCCAGTATTACAAATCTATTTTGCTTAGAAGAAGTTCTGAACCAGTTTAACATTTGAAAGTGTTAAGGAAACTTGTTCAGTTCAAAATTCAACACAAACATTTTGCAAGTAAAACAGAAAACAAGTTTATAACCTGTTTTAGATTCCCTCTCCTCCACCAGGTAGTCTAGGAATTAATGACTTCTTGGAAAGATTTTGTCTATAATAATGCTTTGTTTACCTTAAGTTTTATCTCAGCACCTTAAAGTTTTAGTTAGACTCTAGTTGACAAGATGTCTGAAAATTCAGAAGGGAGGAGGGAAGTGTAGCAATCAAGCATAACTAAGAAGTCAGTAGAACAACAGAAAAAAGCTAGCAGAAGAGAAAATGGCACTAGATAGATGTAGAGGGATAAAGAAGGGAGAGGTTTTTCTTTGTATTTTGTGTGGCTGTCCTACAACATGCACAACTCTCGTTTGTATACATCTTTCCCCAGTTTAGTCCTCGTTTGCTTCTCTGCTTGCTCCTGATACTAAAGTTATAATCATGTGGTTTTACACAATATTTTGGCATCGAATTCCATTTGATTAAAAAAACTTAAAGTAACTTAAAATGGCCGTAGTGCTTGTTGTTGTTTTTCACTGTCCTTTTCATCTTTTTCTTTGTCAACGGCCTTTTAAATGTGCTTTTTAATGAAACTGTTTGCTCCGCTTCGCCTTCACGTCTTTCGTCTCCTTCTCTCTGCTGTTTCCTTCCACTCGGGGTGAGCCTGGGTTCCTTGCGAGGTCCCCAGATCGCGCTCCCTGTCCCGTGTTTTCGCTCCCGTTCCCCGCTGCTCTCCTGATGCTCTATGTAAGCTTCCTTAGTGGTCTTTCCTAGAGAGATCATCCACCAGCCACAGCTGAAACTCCGCGGGCAGGGTTACGAAGCAGGCTGCTGTGGTTTCGGAACAGCCACAGGGAATCAGGAACTGCTGCTGGAGAAGGCAGCAGGGCACTCCCGCTGCGCCCAGGGCACGGCGAAGGGTGCAAGTGGCACAAGCGGGGTCCCCAGCGCCCTTGGGAGCCTCGTGGCACCGCCTCGGTGGCACACACAGCATCTTTTACACGGTGCTGGCACCTGGCCCTCGGCACAGCCCGATGGAGCGGCGCGTTCGTTTGCCCTCAGCAAGGTTCTGCCGCTGGGGCGCACATGGCGTGCGTGGGAAGGGAGCCCAGCTTCGTCCCTTGGTGCCATGGGGACACGGCAGCGCTGCCATGTCGGCATGTTCCGCCCTCAATCCCACAGGCTTCTGTTTTCCCTTTCCTCGCGGAACAGGCAGCGTGGCAGTTCCTGAAAAATGTGTCGCTCTCCTCCCCAACATTGCAAAGGATGCTCAAGAAACCCCTATAGCCCTGGGCAGGGTTTCCAGCTTTTGGCAGTGCGAGGCCGAGCACTGCTCAGAACGAAGCAGAAGCCGGGGCTGCCCTGGCGGGACTCGGCCGGAGCATGTGGAACTGCTGCGAGATACCTGCCCTTCCCGTGTCCCTGGGGCGGGCTGCGGGAGAGGCCAAACCATTTAAATCCCGCTCGGAGGTGGAGGTGACCATTGACCTGTGCTCCTGCTGCAGGCACGGCACTGCCCCTGCCCTGCCCTTCCGCCGGCTCCCCCGCCCAGCCGAGCGGACCGCACGCCCCGGCGCTGAGGCTCAGCCGTCCGAACGCCATCCCTGGAATTACAGGCGGCTCGGGGAGAAGGCGGCGACCGGGGAATCCTCCCCGCCATCCAGCGGAACTACATTTCCCAGGACGCCGCGCGAGGCGGCGGGGCGAATCGCTCCCCGGCGCTGTCCCCGCCGGGCCACCGTAGCAGCGGGCGGGGGTGGCTGTCAGGCGGCGACGGCGGGCGGGACGCGCCCAGGTTGTTGCTGCTGCTGCTGCTGCCGGGACGCGGCGGGAGCGGCGGCGGCGAGCCAGGACCCGGCCCGGCCATGGACGAGCAAGCGGGACCCGGCGTCTTCTTCAGCAACAACAACAACAATAACGCCCTCCTTCTGCCGCCGCCGGCGGGCGGGCCGGGGCTGGAGCCGGGCGAGGCGGCAGCAGCGGCGGCCGCGGCGGCGGCAGCAGGAGGCGGCGGCGGAGGGGGAGTCTCAGCCTCCGGAGCCGCCGCGCCGCTCTCGGCGTCCCGGGCTCAATACAGCGTGCCGGGCATCCTGCATTTCCTGCAGCACGAGTGGGGCCGCTTCGAGGCGGAGCGCGCCGAGTGGGAGGCGGAGCGGGCGGAGCTGCAGGTAACACACCCGCGACCTTCTACCCCCCCACACCCCCGGCTCCGGCGGCCGCTCCCCCTCCGTGTCTCCCGTGCCTACGCAGATGGAGGGGAGCGGCCGCCCTGGGCGCTGCCGCGGCTTGTCGGCTTCCCCGAGAGGGAGCGGCCGGCCGGGCTGTTTCGCTGCCCCCGAGGGCGGCCGCCCCCCGCCGCGGCCGGGCACGGGGTGGGACGTGGCGGCCGGCCCGGCGGGGAGCGGGCCCTTCTCGGAGGGGAGCGGCCCCTGCGCACTGTGCCGCTCTCGCCGCCTCCCCGGAGTTTTCCGGATATCCCTCGGGGTCGGCCGCCCCAACTTGTCACCAGTTTCATAACCCCTGTTAGAATCCGCCCCCGGCGAGCTGCGCGCCCCCGTTGTGCCGCTGCTCCGCCGCTTGTGCCGCGGTTGCCCCCGGCCCTCGGTGCCGCCCCGCCCGCACAGGGGCCAGGCCCGCGGGACCGGCTGGATCCCCTTCGCTACCATGGGGCACGTTATGTAGTGTTTTCCTTTGAAAAGCGATGGTGTTGATACGCTCATTAATGCATGAAAGGACTGATAGTCATCTTGTGGTTAAAGAACTTGTGAGTTGCTGGCCTAGAGCCATTGCTGTCAGATACTTCAGTGATGGCACGTTGCATTAGCTCCAGTTACAGTCGATAATGCAACCTTCGTTCCTCTTTGGTGTTGTTTACAGGAAAATCCCTGTGTTAAACCTTAACGCTGGCCATGTTGCTAGCAGCCCACTGTTTGGTTTTCATTTGGCCATGCTCGAGACTGAAAAGTGCCTACGCGTTTCCTTTTTAGGTCTCCTTTCTTTGTCTCTTTCTTCCTGTCCATCTCTTCTTTCTATGGCTTTCCTTGAAAGTACGGTCTTTGTCAAGAGAGTCTGGAATCTGTTTAGCAATGCAAACCACTTCCCTGTTTTTTTGGTTATTGGGTTGGTTTTCCCCCATCTTTTTAATTTTACTTTCTACAGTAACATTGAACAACTGCTCTGAGAAGAGTGATAGATCTGACATTCTTTTATGAGAGTTCCCTTATAGGAATTTAATGGAAGTGGTCATGAGGACAAGAGAGTAATTTTTTTATTTTAACTTCCATGATTCAATGAGAAATTGGCTAGCAACTGAATCATATTTCTATTCACTACATCCAGTAAATACTGTGTAGAAAGCTACTCGCTTAGCTATGTATAGGAATAACCTCACATGTCATATATCCAGTGGAGGCCCATAAATATCTTGCCATATATTCATAGCTGATACAGATACCAAATATTGCTTTGGAGAAAAAAAACCCTGTTTTACAGGACCTAGGAAATTTTGCCACTGCATTAAAAGTACTAACGCTTTGCATATTTATTATGTCTTTCAGCAGCATGCCATCCCTCCTTCTCCCCCAGGTATCCCTCAAAAGCTTGGTGTTTTGGATGAGACAGGAAGAGAGAAATTGAGTATTTAGACTATTTGCAGAAGTCATGTATTATCAGTGGCAGATAACCCCATCACAAGTTGTTTGCTTGAATGCCTTTGACTCTTGCCAAAACATCTCAATAAAGTTATAATTAGCTGTGGCTGGCATTGCCATGAGCTGTAACAGCATTTATCTGCTGCAGAGTCATGTTCAGGAAGGTGCAAAATTCTTGGCTATCTCTACAGACATCAGGCGTTAACGTCTGCTGTGACCATTTGCAGATGAATGTTCTTGGATCCATGTGAGAGGTTTGTGGTAGGGGTTCAGCAGCTACAGGGTGGCTTTTAGAAATTGTACACCTGAAGCATGAGCAGTGTTAATTAAAGACCTGGTCTGTGCTCCTTCTGAAGCCTTTTGTTTGCCTGTATATTTGGAAATGTTTAACAGAATAATGGAAATCTGAGTTCAGACAGTTTCTCTCTCTCGAGATAAAGATGCAGTGTTCCTCATTGTACTTTTATCCAATGCAAATTCCAGTGCTGGATTATCCATCCACTCTTGGGAGGCCGTGGGGCAAAGGACCTATTTAGTATGGTGGTCTTAGTATCCCATAATTTTTTCCTGCAATTCATCTAGTTTCTAAGAGGTAGACTTCTTTTATCTCTGGTTCCTTACCTGCCATGATATTAAAATACTTGGGATACCTTATGCCACAGTATTATTGTGTTTGGCTCCTGCTCTGTAGCTGTTGGTTAGTTACACTCTACCCTTTCTTGAAAAAACACCTTGTAAGTCAGTCCCATTGTGATTTCCTGCCTTTCTTTTCTTCCTCTTTGGGCTTCTTTTTATTTTCTCTTTTTCTTATCCTTCTAATTAACTGTGTGGAACTAAATGTGATGGTCAGGTAGAATACCTTTCTGTTGTGTTCTGTGGTGCTTGTTCAGGTGACACACACCCAAGCTCATAACATATGTGAGTTAGCAGGCTGGGCAGCTTAATCTGTTCTTAGTTACTGGTCTAGAAGTGTCTTTCCAACTTTTTTCTCCCTGTCAGTGCCTATATTTTGCTTTCTCTGGCAAGTATTCATGTTTATTTTGATTTTCTAATTATTTTTCTTGAACCTTTTGAAATTATTGTTGCCTCTGTTATATAATCTTTCTCATTCAAGGCAAAAGAGGACTTCAGTATTTATATCTATGCAAGCATCATTAGTAAGCTGTTTATATCAAATAAGAATGAAAACAGATTAATATGGGGTTCCCCTAGATGCTTATCTGCTGATTACATATTTAACTTTTAATGCTTGCTTTCTGTTTACACTACTTTGATATTTGCATATTGAAAAATTATCCTAAGAATAGACTTTCGTGATGCCCTCTGAAGTAATTAACTAGGATGAATACTAACGTTATTAATCCTCATTTAAGTATTCACAAACAGTGCTTTATGGCATTATAATCTATTTCCATATCATTTCAGAAATTAGTGATTTTCCTTTTATAAGGTTCTTCTAGCAGCTGCTTGGGAGATTTGACAAGACAGGGTTTCCTGTTCTGCAAGTTTTAAACTTCAGGTTTTTTTTGTTCTGCATTTTTCTGGACTGACACAGAGATATTTCAGAGTTGTCATTATGCGTTGGACAAGCCCATCCAAAAATAGCAAAGGGTTTGATCAAATGCATGTGCAGGGCACTGAAATCCGTATCTTTGTTTGAGGCATGCAGGGGATGAACTGCCTCCCATATTGGTGTCTTGCCTTATCCATAAGTCTTCTGACTGGTTGGGGGTGACTGCCTCTTGCGGATGTTATTTCCCTTTTGATTGGTCATCTGTCACCCCTGGGGGGAGCAGTAGGGAACTCTGCCCTGGAGGCTGGGACCCTGCAGAGCTCAGCGCTGCCAGTGCACATCCTTGTCCCAGCAAGCAGCAAGGCTGGATGAGCTTGGAAGGTGTGTGTGGGTGTGTGTGTGGGTGTGTGTCTTTTGTTGTGACTAGAAATGTTGTCTTTGCAAGCAATGCATATGTTGCTGTGGAAAGTTCTGCTTCTGACAAACATTTTCTGGCAAAAGTGCAGATTTGCAGACATTGGCATTTCTCTGCATTTCACAAATGGTCTAAATTGCAACAAACTGCTATGCTGTATGTAACTGTGTTTATGGACAGCCCCCCATTCTACTAAGGAATTTTCTAGCTTTTGTCCTCGTCACTCCTGAAGTTTTCATTTCCTCTAACTAGTAACTTGTTTCTTTGGAGTAGTAGACTCCATACAAGTGGTGGGACCTGATAGCATTACATGAAAATTATTTTTCCTGGGTAAACTTTCCTTTGAAAAGGTTTGCAAGGAAATTAGGGAGAATGGGTGGATACAATGTGCTTGTGTTTCTACAGCTTTGTTAAAAATAGTTCTTGTAAGACAGTGCCAAAAGAACAAGAAAACACCACCCAAATGATAGGGAAAGAGATAATGAAATGAGATAAAATGTGGTTAAATGATAGCAAACAGCTGTAATAGAAGGAATGTGATGGAAGTAATAGATAAACACTTGAGATTGGGTATGGAAGTCAGATTTAGTAATGTTAGCTCTCTGGGGGGTGGGTCACGGATGGGGATCTTGCCCTTTGCTGCTGCTTTTCTGCTGCAAGAGGCAGGCGATGAAACCAGGCATGCTACATGGTAAGATTGTGTCCTTGGAGATAGACAAGTTAAAGTAATGAGGAGAAGGGGCAAATCAGACAGATGGCTGTGGCTATTTATAGTGTGGTTTAGGACATTTGTTACTTGATTCAGAAATTGTTGATATTTACAGTTTGTTGGCTTTTAGATGACGGTCCTCTTGTTGGATTAAATTTCTAGTTAGAAGTTGTTCTGATAGCTGGATGATCTGAAAACGTTCAGAGAAAAAGTAAAGAGCAGTGAGTTGGTGAAATCAGTTATTAAGTTAATGGAAAAATCCTAAAGATACAGTTTGACCAATAAAATAGAAGATAAATACAATTTGAAGCAGTTTTGTATAAGATTTTCAAGTATGATGATGTGGGTCAAATTTCTGAGATTCTTGGTCAAAGATGAATTATCAGAAGTGCTGTAAAAGTCTCATATAAATTGTTTTTTCTCATAAGGCAGATAGTACAAAAGAATCACCAGTGGTTAATATTACATACATCTCAACTACAGAAAAGCAGTAATCTCAACTTTATTGTTTTATATATATCAGATAAATCAAAAGAAAGGCAAAAGAAAATAAACCATAGTCACACTACTGAGGCGTGTTTATTTGGAAAAATGATACTAAATGGGCCTTGGTGACTACCAGATAGTCTCTCTTTCACAAACATTTTTTCAAACTTTCTATTTGCAAGATTCATGTGAAGCAAACTGTATTCTGTACTTATGTGCATGTTTGTCAGCTAATTCCAATATAATTGTTGATGTGCTGTCACAGCTTCTTTTATTTATTTTATTTCTCACTGGAGGACCAGTGAGAGTAAATGCTCAGTGATTTTCAGAAATTCGGAAATTTGTAGAAGTAGAATGTAAGTACAAATTGATGAGACAATGTTTTTGTAGGTGTG